TATATAACCGAGCATGATAGCCTGATTTGGCAGTGGTTTGCAGCGCCATCTGGAACGCTTCAGGGGACTTTTGCCAACGGTGCTGATAGAGCAGACGAAGTTATGCCGATCAAATAATTCATTGATAATTTTACGCAGCGTATTGATAAGCCAGGGATCAGTTAGCAAGTAGACTGATCGGCTAAGACGCATAGCAACGCTGTTAAAAACGTACAGTTAAGAGTTTTCTTTTTTCTTTGTTATTGCCTCTGCCAGACACGTTGTAGAAAGGGAAGTTTTTGAGGCAATAAAGCTTTTATGTGAAGTCTTGCGTGAATTCCCACCGGAGCCTCGCTAGCTCTAAGCCAGACCTTCAGTATGCTCGCTAAGATTCTTAAAGCAGTGATGTGCAGCTGATTTTTTTTTGTTTCCTTTTTTTTTTTTTTTTCGTTTCGCATTTTCCTTGGTTTTTATTTTTGGAAAATAATGCTTCAATTTGAAATATCATTTGTAAGTAACAAGCTCATTTTTAAACGGGTATTCTTTGTTGCGCTCTGTAGTAACTAGCCTCGTAAGTTTTCTCGATCTCGAAAGTTACGTTTCGATCTTGACGTTAGAATCGGACCCCGTTGATAGCAAAAGCTTACACATGGATGGCACAAAAGAAAAACGATTGTCAATGAAGGTCGTTTACTTTGCCGCTTATATACTACGACTGGTGAAATTATATTGGTTTATTAAGGCAACTATATTGTATAGCGTTACTCTCCAACGACAGTATGATAAGAAATTCAACTTATATAGTTGTGATGAATACATGAAAGCTGAGTAAAGCTATAGTCCTGAAAACGGAACAATTATTTCAGCCACAAGTTGCTTAAATGTGAAAGACTCCCTTTCATATACGGTGGTGACCCAAAATATTAGCCTGTGTCTATTGAAGGATTTAGCATAAATGTTAATCGCCGATATGGCGAGCCTTACGTTGGAAAATATTGTCTTCCTCGACTTCGCGTTATACGACAAATTTTACAAAGCAGTTCTGAAGATGTAAGTGAACCACGCTTTTTTTCTAGCTAATTTGCTCTGACGTCGCCAGTAGCTAACACTTCTTTGCGCAGCTAGCAGAAGAAATCGCCTAGAAATGGCACTAGAGGTGGTACCAGTACTGATGCAACATCCAGTGCCTCGCAAGGGACGATGAATGTGTAACGCGCGACCCGGCAACCGATATCGATTCGGCCGCTCAGGATACAAGGTAGACAACGCGACGCGATGCGTGATTCCGAAACGGCCAAAGAGCGTTTCAAAGGACTGAGGATCCAGGGAACCAGGACGCTAGGAAGACAGGGCCAGAGGGAGAGGTAAAATATGGAAGACTATGACGCCCGTGGCGGTCACCCGTTCTGCTTGACGTTGAGTTATATATAGAGAAGTAAAAAGAATCGGACAAAAGAAACCAACGCAGGGCAAGTCAGGTTAAGTCCCTTTCGATGTCGTGGATCTGGTTGACAACAATTAGAGCTTTCACTTCCGTAGAGAGGAGCTTTTAGAAGAAATGAAGGGGCCAACGACCGTTTGCCTATTGTGAAGTACTATAATCTGTCGTGGCTATTAATAACTAAGTGTAGTAATAATTTCCTCTAAATAATACCTTTATTTCGCACCGAATGACCCAAGCAAGCAAAGCCTTAGCGGAGGCTGAAATACGTAGGCGATGACGTAGCATGATATCCGTTTTATAACAATGATATAGATACTGGTTCATATAGTTCAAGGCCTTAATACACGATGTTTCGCTTTAGACGGCATTTGGTAGACATAACCCGGGAATGCTGCCGGAAACAATAATTAAACAAAGTAGTTTACATTATTTTACCTAAAGCGCTTGTTAACTTGTGCTAAAAAGAAACGCCCCCAATGCAGCACTAAAGTTATACTGAACTTTTGTTTGAAGAATGGCAAACTGCTATTACACCAGACCGCAGCAGTAGGAGACGACCGTATTGAAACAAAGACAGCAGATTTTGCTGCTAAGGTTGAATCACTGCTAAGGACCTATTAGACTTTTTAGTCCGACTTGGTAATGTATAGAACCGGTGCCGTCAAACCCTATTGTTTTTAGACGTTTCACACGCGTATTCATATTTACATCAGTAGATGATCCGACTGAATTAGAGATCGAGTCAGTTGAAGTTAGTTATAGTTGAAGGCAGTTAACTTGTTGGACGCCTGTTCACTAGTTGGGAGCTGCAGTATGTGCTTTTATCGAACCGGAAGCCCAGGCGGAACCCAGTTCTGCTTGTCACAGCGGCTCCCTCTACTTCACGTCGCTTCAAACGTCTATTTCAAATAAATCTATTTCACTAAATACGTATCGAAAATGCGTCCGTAATATAGCATCGTAATAACGCGTTGTACATATCAATTAAAGGCGACACGTTAAGTACCGTTAATTTCACACTCACATATCACGTTATTACGCACCTGGTTCTTCGGTGGAAAACAACATAGTCCACGAGCGCATTACTCAGTTCACGGAATTTGTTCTTTAAGAAAACAAGTTTTTTATTCATACTTAATTATAATTTAAATAGTTTTCAGTATGCTTTTTCATGGCCATCATCTGTGACGATACTAATTCGGGCCTTAGTGATAGTTTTAAAGCAATTAGACTAAAATGCTTAGAATTTACGTATATCTTTTTTCTAACGACACTTTCATCCTACTGATCCCAAATTTTCTGGAACTGATATGAGCAGAATATCGCCGTAAATACCAATATTTTTTCTTGCAACTATTTTATGTTGGTACCTACTTTGAGCCTTCTACAATGGCATTCAATCCTGTTTTGTTCTATAGTTTTCAAGATTAGGGCTTCCGATCAGACAACAAATGGAGCATAAACAATTTCGATAAAAGAAAAAAAGCTTTTAGAGTAAGAAAAAAAGAAAAAAATGACTCACTGATAGGAAAATGATTACCTGCTCCGAATAGTAGAGCTGCAGTAGTTCCTACGTTGCAGATCGTGGTCATCTTTCTCAAAGAAAGCCCTCTAAGGCGAGTTCGGTTTTTATATATAATATAGGGTAACATATTTCTCTATTTATATTCTAGTTTATAGTCTATTAATATCTAAACCCTGACATTCGATACTGTAATTATGTACGGAAAAAATTACTATTTCAAAGTTTACAAATATTTTTATAATGTTAAGCATGAAAATGGGTTTTTATATCATCAGTACCGACTTCAACAGGTACGCTAATAGGCAACAGCCTGTCGACAGAATATGCTTAGAGCAAATATATCGAAAGATCAACAACGATTCCTTGCAGGCAGACAGATTCGACCCATCTTTCGTCGGAATGCGACCCATCTACTTCAACAAGCAATATGTAGAGAAAAGCTTTTATTCACTTGAAGTCTCTGTTCGACTTCGTCTCACGGTGATATACTTAAAAGTTCAACTTAATTGAATTTGAATGTCACATATTCAAAAACAGCATAGTAGATAACATCTACGAATTCACTTATTCGATGAGAGGTGGCCAGTCATGCTGGGCTTGAGAGTTGAAGAGTTGTGGAAGAGCGAGACAATTTATCGGCAAGTTGTTCGACTGAGGTTATCAACCAGAAGACGGAGTTTTCATGAAATGTATGACGTGTGGCTGATTTAAAAATCTTATAACGCGCGCCGTCATCGATCTCAACAGACAGATCTGTCTTCTGCTTCTTCCATCGGCATACCCTGTTTGGGCATCGAAGCTAATATGACATGCTAGAAAGGTACAACGAATTCGATAGTCGTAGCTCTTGCAAAAAAAGGCCACTAGTGTTTTAAAGTTTTGCTCAGTTTCACTGACATTTTTCGTAGGCGTTTCAAAAAAGTCTCGTTTTGACGATTTCTTGTGTGTGTCCTGTCTTAATACCTCCCGGTTCGCTGGCGGACAAACAATCGGCAAGTCGTTTAGTCGGCCCACTTCTGCATTACGGCTGGGCCCTTACATTTGTTTTTCCTGAATACTGTGTCGCGGACACTCCGCAGTGTGGGCGCACTGTCCGCTCTACTTGGGGCAACCAATGCAAAACTCCATGCTGTTGCAGGGCGTTTGTCTGAGTATATGAGGGCAAAGCGAATGTGTACACCTATAACGAATGCAGTCGATAGCCAAACAAACCAAAGGCGCAAAGAGGACCCTGAAGACAGAGGCCAATGCGTGGGTGTATCTATGTATATTTTATCTATTAATACTTATGGTTGTAAACGCATTTTTTGTCTTCATTCTATAACTTAGAGGACGGTAGCGTGCTAGTTGGAGCGGTAGTCGTCGTTCTTACTTTTGCGGTAGGCCTCTCGCTCTCTTCCTCTATAAATAGATATATCTAAAAGCTTGTTCCACCAGTGAGAGTTCCCAGCGAATATATATACTAGAAGAATCGACCAAATACGACCTTAGTTTATATAAACAAGTAAAACATATAGAGCACTTGCGGTTTACTCTGTCCGGGTATAGCGACTCCTAAATTCTGCTTTCTTTTTTAGCTAAATGGTGGTAACCAAATTCTATTCCTCAGAGATGCATGAAAGCGTGCTCATCAAGCAAGCGCATTTGGTACGTTCACTGCATTTACGGTTATCGAAACGCGTTGCAAACCGGATGTAAATGTATTGCATGGGTCCTCGTTAATGAACGAAAGGGTCAAAAAATAGGAGCAAATAAATGTAAACAGATTACCTACACTACCCTTGCGCAAAAAGGTATACAAATACAGACAAGTCCGCAAGTGATGCGACCGTCAAGTAGGAGTGGTAAAGATAAACCGAATGGGGTACAAGTCCAATAGTGGATACATGGTCCTTGATTGTACTACATGAATCAAATGGTTCATCTCGGCTTATGTCCAAGTTGCACGAAATAATGTATGTGCCCTTGAAAATAATATAATTACCCTTAAGGCGTTCTGTTCTCAAAAATACAAATGGAATTTGACGCGAGACAGCATCGATCATGTTTAACACGAGAAAATATAATATGTGCTGCGTGAAAACAGAAATGTAATTTAAATCATCAAAGAAAGCTGACTGGTTTTTTTGTACGTTTGAAGGTTAGCTTTTCATCAAAAAAAGAAAAATCTAACTTGTAGTACATTTTTAATACAATTTTTAGAATAGACACATATAATAATAATAACCAACCTAGTTTTAGCTGTATGAATAACAATAAGCTTTTTTCCATTGGCCTAAAGGACTCGTACCACACGCTGGGAGATCAGGTGATCGTGGACAGATTGGCACAACTTCAATTGCCCGCCCGCGCGGAGGCTCTTCGGAACGACCTGCACACGCTAGATGTGCAGGTCCGCCAACTGCAGGAGGCGCTGGACTCATTATCAAGATTGCAACAAAGGTTAGCGATAATGAACGGTAAATCTTTTTATTCAATTGACTCATTGTCTTCATCGATAGATAGAGTATCCTGTATGGCATGTTCTAGCACCAACACACGAAGCTCTCTTGTAGGCCACTTTGTTAGCCATTGACAACCCCACGTTGAGCCCCTCATTGGAATGACATTCACTGGCTGTGAGTATATATATCATGGTCTTAACCATCACTTTCCAGCATACTCTTCACATGCTCACTGTGCTTGCCATAACGACCACTAAAGGTAACCTAGATACTACCCCAGAGCTGTAAAACATGGCTTTCCCGATGACAACGTCCACGTTTTTATACCCAGGTCACTATTTTTCTGGGAGGTTAGCGTTTATGTGATTGGGGTGAGCCGAGCTACTTTTGTTTATCGAGATTGTCTATCTTTTATCATTTCTCAAAACAGTAAAAGCTTTCTAGTATGATATAGAAGCATTTAGTGGCAGAGGCGATCTATGACAATCGCTATACCAAAAAGATTTATAACCAGCACACTTCTTTTATGAGACAATACTATTTCATTATATATTTAAATCCGACAAGATTCCTTGCCATTATTCTGGCTAAGTACTAAAAGTGCGAGTGGGCTTCCTATTACCGATGTATGATCTACATAGCTAATAGCCCATTAAAGGGCATTTTCGGCATCGTTTTTAGAGATTTATCGAAAATCGTCGTATTCAGGGCTATACAGACTCTGTGAGCTTTTAATGCGGCGTTGCAACTTTCAAAGCCAAAATACTTAGGCTTGAAGAAGGCACACATTTACAGACACAGTATAGCGCATCCCGGATTGCATGTCAAGCGATCGGATCGCCGGGCACTAAAACTCAAATGGTACCTGGCAATATACATAAGAGGCACGAACAACGGATTACGGCCACAAAACTGTAGATCGCCTCATCGGAGGCGCTGACATGGGAGTTATAACACATCGACCTAACCGTCAATTCTGAAGAGCATATGCATAATTATTACTTTGTAATTATGCGAAGGAATCATAAGTATTGGCCACCCGTAACAGTTGTCTTTCTAAATATATATATATATATATATATATATATATATATATATATATATATATATATATATAAATAAAAAAAAAAAAAAAAAAAAGTTCTATTCGGGATTGATATAGTACGTACCACAGTAGCCCGACTAACGAATTTTTTTTAGTGTATTCAGCCATCACTTAACAGGTTATATATTTGAATATTGCATAAACATTTATAGAAGTGCACCGGTTCCTATCAATCACCTAGTAACGACTGTTTGGAAACGTTTCTGCCTGCATATGGCACGGACTATGGATATAGAATTAACATTACGTAATTTTTCAACTCGTAATATTCACAATGATACTTCTTGCGAGTGCTGAGTTTGCGGTAAACGTGACGATCAGTTACGGCCTGTCAGACTATAACGTCAGTTCTCTCTGCGAGTCAATCTTCGTCGTAATCGGTTTCAGTCATAATGGTCAGAGAGCGCGTACAGTTGTGCTAATAGGTAATATGCTTCAAGATTTCAATTGGGTTCATATTGGAACCAACACTGGGAAAATGAACCTCTCGTAACGAGGACGTCCCCAGTTGGCGTCGAGTCGCGTTGTTTGATTAGTCGACTTCTCAAGCTTTTACTACCAGCCATAAGAATATGATTGATTGCCTGTTGCCAGGCGAACTAGCTTGCTTATATAGATATACAAGAGGTCAAACAGATATCATACTTGCATGACCGCCATCTTGCTCTATTTATTCGAAGGAAACACGCCCTCACGCAAGCATAGACCTTCTCAATTTGAATGAGCAACTTCTCAGATCTGCGAGCGTCACAATGCAAAAGATCTAATCTTCAGTGAATTGTACAGCGCGTAAGAAAACGTGCGACTGGAAACGCTTGAGAAGTTAGCAAGCGTTTGTGAAGAAAGCTTCCAGTTGGCCCGTTACGTTGCTAATGTTGTTCCTTTTCATATCGCTGCTATAATGTAGACTTACTATCTAACTGCTCTAAAAATAATGTATGCATCTATTAAAAAAAACTGCTACGTGAGTGCTTTTTGAACGCATCAGTGGAAACCGAAGATGAAAACGCTTGTTCCTTACAGTCAACAACAATGATCGTCGTATCATTTGAGCTTCATCACATCTCAAATCGAACATTTTGCCGGATGATTGTACGCTAAAAGCTTCTTGAGTGCCCATTTGCGCCCATTCAACGTGCCTATGGCAATACAGGATGATAAAATGCCCATCGATTAAATAACACATTATGCAATGCGGCTAGACATCTATAAAACTGGCAGTAAAGAAGAAGACTCCAAGTCTTTCTGATGTCGAACCCTTTTAACGCATTCGTCACTAACGAATACTGCCATATAGTGCTGGTCTGTTCCTGTAACAATGGATATTATACACGACCTGTACAGGCTATCATTTGACCCAACACAATGTACCTAAGCTGTAGATACGACCTGAGGTAGATAAAACAACTCCACGAGCGTTATAATTGTACAATTTCCATTTTCTTGGCGGAATGCGATTTCGGCGAAGGCAACTTGATGACCGACGTGATTGATTGATTGATTGCCCAGCTGCCTTTCTTGGGGCATCACCAAATGCCAAGCGAACATTCGGTGGCAGCTACGTGCCCTAACCGTTATTTCATCCGCGGCAGGGGCAATGGTGCCTGCGATCCGTCTATCTTTCAAAATACATAAGCGTGACCACATTAAAAAGCTCCATCTGATGTGCGAAACCCGTGCATCCAGCTAAACTATCAGATGTAAGTTTATCGTTTTTTCTTCCTTCTTCTCTCGCCAATTTTGTTCCTTATTTCATTGCTTTGTTTGCAATTTGCCGTGCTCTAATCGAACAGTATCGAATTATGTCTGAGAATGATCTATCATCGCCGCGTTTGCAGTAGCTGATCGACCTTAGAGCCCTTTATTAGGATTATTTTACCACCCATCGATACACACGTTTTCGTTGGGAGCTGGTCACATCCTCATTTGAAATAACGCGCAAAGTAGCTGGCGTGGCTCGCTGCGCTTGTGCTTGCCAGCTTCTTGGACTGACCCAATTCTTATTGGGTGCCTCCACCGTTGACCCACGGTGTATGTTGTTTTTTCTCCCACGTTTCACTGGCGCTCTCATTTGCTGTCTCTTCGACTTTCCCCTGTATGGTCGCGTAGCCTTTTTCCGTTTCGGTTTCTCGCTAGCAGAAAAGTCCCGAAGCTCAGACCCACATTAGAAGCCAACGAGCGCAACGTCAGCAGCGATAGAGCGCAGGGCTACTTGCTACTTTTTCCAGCCACGTTAAATCTGCAATGTTGTTTGTTGCTAGACAGCGTTTACTCACGTATGGCTGGGAGATAGAAAGACTGCTTTTTCAACACACACGCAGATCTGCGAATCGGGCAGGAGCCACACTGATGCCGCTAATGATATTTGATGTGACTCGAGCGATAGGTCTAGGACAAACATACAAAATCTAAAGTGTAGCTGAAAAGAGGACCTTGGCGTGTGTAAACTATTAGGGCTAGATCAAATGCGTTGAAAGCGTTCAAGTTAGATTTTTGTAACCGAGAAGGAAAATTAGGGATGTACTTATGGGGGCCTTTTTAACTTAATATATATACGAAAAAAAAACACTACATTGTTAAAAATCATCTGAGAGAGCGTGAGATATAGGCAAAAATATCAATACATACGCGTTATAGTATCGTCGGTATTGGGTTTAGTCGCTTACCTTGGTGTCGGATGTACTAAACGGCAAGTAAATGTATATAATAAGCATTCAACTTACACTCAACGAATGTTTATTCAATGGATTTTTTGCAGTTTCAATCCAACTATTTATTTTTTACTTTTGGCAGTGCCTTGATCGGTGAAGCCTTTCGATTATTTTGTACAACGATGACCAATACTTGAGTAGAGGGGCCATATTGCTTATCTTGTCGTAAATTTTTAAAGTATTTCATGTAATCTATACACCGTTAATGGAAAAATCGTGACCGCTTCCCATAGAGCCTTTTCTTTTGCTAGCTCGAATGTGCAGTAGCTCTGATAATTACCCTATTATTCTTTTTCTCTATAAATATGTTATAAAAACCTGAAGCCTGCAAGAACAGTCTATGATGAAACACGACCACGAATGTATATTTGCCGATGTTTCTTAGTAATTTCGGCTCAATCTATAAAGCGTAACCAGGATTCTGAGAGGCCTCAAGATTCACTTACATCGCTTAAATTTAGCGAATTATAAAGATGGGATTACATATTTACTCACTTATCGTTGGAGCGTAAACCAGACGCTTGAAACAACCCTTAACGATGGCGCTTACATTCGGTATACATAGCTAGGTGTCTTATTTACGTTTTAAAATAATTACTGATGGGAAAATCAGCGTTCCCGAAGCGGTATTGCATTATATATACCGTTAATTTTATTGCAGAATTCCAAACTAAAAACTGCTGTGTTACTAGTGAAAGATATTGTTTTGTAGCCTTATCGAAAAAAACACCAATACTCATTCAGGTTGGCCAAGGGCCACAAACGCTTTGCATAGCCGCATGCTCATAATGCTAATAGAATTCATCTTGTGTGTATTTTTTACGTTCTCGTTCACTGTCCTACCCTATATCTGCGATCTTTGCTGCGTTGTCCTCGATCGCCAACTGTCTTCTATCGATTAAATGGTGCAGAAGCATCGAGTCGAATCTGTTCAATAAAGCGAACGAGCTTCAAGAGGATATGTGCCTGAAAAGGTTCGACCTACAGGTAGCCCAGATACACCAGGCTGCAGTTAGGGCACAGCTGGAGCTCTTCCGTGGGAAGCTGGACGGTTTTCCTGCATTAGATTATACGATGGCTGGGCAGAATGCGGCCAGCCAACACTCAAGCGCACAGGGGCAAACGACGCTGCGAAACCCGCAACAACAAGATGCCAACGTGAGTATTCCCTATATTTCTCTTTGACTAAGAACATCATTAAGATATCAGGAAGAAGCACTCTGATAGGAGTTACTAAACTGTCAGCTGAGTGGAAAAATAGGTTTGTAGAGAACATACAGGCTACGTAAACTGACTCAATATGGAGGTTCGACAGAGCAACACTCACAACGAAGTCCGAGATCGAAAGGTCACTCGTTATCTGCAATAATCTAGTGAATGGAATTACCGATTTGCCGCCTGTCAGTTTCGTTGTTTTGAACATCAGACTTCGGCCTGCATTCGTGAACATGATCAGCTCTACAATCAAAAGCAGAAACAACCTTCATTAGACCATCTGGACGTTGCTTTAAAACATGTTAGTCCTTTTATCTAATCCCACATATCTCATAGTCTTTTCTCAGTGCTTCTGTTCTCACTCGAACTGCATTACTATTACTAAATCAGACCACAACTTTCGTCTCGAATTTATCAATTAGTCGGACAACTTAAGTTGTACGTAGTTCCCGCACGAAGTTCAGTCAAAATATTTATTCTCAACAAATTTGAAAACGTTTCCCCGGCGGAAATAAAGACATGTACTCCCTCGTATCAAAAACAGCACTACTTTACTATCTCGCTGTTAACGTGTTTCTTCTACGTACCACGATTTTCACATATATTAATACTGTCTACTAGCATAGTACGTTTGTTTGAACGCGCAATGCGGCAGACGATATTATAACAAGTTAACAATGAAAAGTCCGTATTTCACTGACACCGCAGCCGACAGCGTTACATATCGCAACACGCCACTGCATTCAATTTCATAATTAGCTAAAAGCTTCTTAATGTTCAAGAAGAAAGGGGCAAAAGAAGAGCGAAGATAAATGGGAGGATCGAGAGCTGCTGTAAGAAAATGCCGAAGGGGCAGCGGCTGTATGCCTGCAGGTACTTAGGTTCACTTAAGGTGAGATAGATCGATAGAAAATAACTAAGCAAAATGTATAAATTTAAAAAAACGTGCACACACAGCCTGTATGTGACGCTTGATGGGAAGGTTGAGAGATGGACGGGCGTTTAGTGAAGTCCTGTTCGTTTGTTCGGTATGTTTGGCCTGAGGGAACAAGTGTCTCAGAACGCGCCATAGCAATATTTATACGGAACTATTGCCGCTGCCGCCGTCCTCCACGCTGGCTCAATCTCGGCGTCTAGCTCGTCCTTCTTTTCTTCCCGTCTTTCTTCTAATTTCTGATCTCAAACTCCGCTTAATGTTCCGCGGAGTTCAGGAACCGAAAAGGCCGAGTCAAAGAAAATTTTTATGTGGAACTTACACCGATGTATGTATAAATGGAGAAAGCCTTATGCGCATTGAAAGTATCTGATGTTGACTGGAATTGCTAAGTTCGGTTGTTGTTCATGTGAGACTCGGGGTCAATATATATTAATATTATATTACATAAATATCAATATATATTAATTTTGCCAATTTGTTACTCTATTTGTGACCGGCGCTGATACGGTACTGTAATAGGTGCGTCTGGATTTATTGTAAAAGATTTTTATTAAATGTTTTTTTGAGACGAGAACGGCGTTTTTCTGTTACAGTTAACAAGTAAAGCTATACTGACCTCTGTTTAATTGGTATTTTTGTAAACAAAAAAATAATAAGATTGTGCTACCCTTTAGCAGTTGATACTCACCCTTAGCTGCAATTGTTCTAGCAATAGATGGAGAAGGGTGTACTCGCACTTTGAGGATTCTTCCGTAGGTGGGGAAAAAGCAAAAAACTTGTCAGACTACATTTAATTGGCAGCTGTTATTAGAAGTTCGTATTATCATTGCTAATATATGTAATTATACGAAGATACTGTTGTTAGCGTGGAGCCATCGAGCATCGACCTGCGCTGACAACATCTATTATTATTTCCATCGCACATATGACCATATATCCACCTTTTAATAGCAATTTGGCCTTAACAGCAATATCAATAATCGAGTCCTTTGACCCGAAATCTATCTAGTATTTAGGTAAGCATTACTGTCCGTAGTAATCCCGCCCTGTCGAACGCGCTAAAAGCAGCGGAACCGGCCTTGACCGTTCGAAAACCCGTTGCATTGACACGTGTCATAAAAATGATTTTGCCTAAAATAGTCATACTAAGAATAACGAGCGTAAGAACAGCAACGATACATTGGTAGAAGGTACACGCAAAGCCGTCATTACGTGAAACACTGGATACGTTAGACGAGATCGCCGTACATCAACTAGCAGATAAATGCAATATTACGTAGACGTTCGGTTTTCAAGCGAAATTATATTAGCGACTAGGGCTGACTGATCGGGCTTTCCATAGAGAGCTATACGCGAATGAACCGAGGCACATGTACCTTAATCATGTTATTAGCAAAAATAGAAGATCGGCGTGTACCCACTATATTATGGATCTGTAAATTCTGTTTTGATACATATATCTTTTTATCTTATATGCGATAATTTCAGAGTTTTCGAGATGGACGCGTTGCCAGTGGGGTTGGAAGTGCAAAGTCTTCTAGCGCCGGGAATACTGGAAGTGGTAGTATATATGGCAGCCAGTTAGCTACGCTGCAGGCGGCCGCCGCTGCGTTCCAGCAGAACGCTAGCGGGGGCACCATTAAAAACAAGTGGCTCAAAGCTTTCAGAAGCCTCAAGACAGGTGGAAATAGTGGGGCCTCTGATAAGTGAGTACTACAATTACGTGTATGTACGCCTTATGCTTCAGTGCACTGGCTTACATGTTCATGAATGATAACAATATTGAGAATGGCAAACGTTTAGTTCATAATAATTGTCTAAATGCCTAACATGTATAAATATAATCAGATTAATTTTCCTGAAGATATTAGCCCCCGGATATACGGATTTAGATTCGGATTACTGCATCTCAGAAAAGAACGATACTATTCTGAGTTTGTAAGTAGAAGTATGAATGCTTCCGCAGTTAGACATCATCTATAGTTTGGGTTATTTCTTGCTCTGTTTGTGTACTGTAAACTTAGCACTTTCAAACTGTGGAGAAAAGGCAGGATTAATGTGCATGTTAGTAGTACATGACCGATACTGTGAGGTGTTCGGTAGACGTAAAATTCGTTATCAGTGCCGCATGCGTTGGCGGCAGCAATCTCTTGACTTCGCTTGTAAATACAGAAGGCAAAGTGTCTCCAAAAATAGCCAAGGGGCAAGGTAGAAAAAACAAGGAATGAGCATTCGATAGAAGACTTGCCTCCATAAAACTATAGACATACACAAACACAGACACCCGCTTGTCTACGAGCTACAATTCAGAGAACTAAGACGCAGCTGTCTCCACTACCCCAGCTGGTAAACCTTTCAGAAAAGCTAGCGAAGGCTTCCTAAGTTGCCGAACGATGACCTGAATATAAATCGAAAACCCCTGTGTCTTTCGCTGCTCATTCGTGCTCTATTGTGATCTGCCGTTAGTTTTCGCTGCTAGCGTCGCTGCTGCCGTTGTTTCACGCGAGTTCACTTTTGACCAAAGTTGCTTCTTTATTGTTCTGTTGGCCTTATGTTTTTGGCTATTGAGTTTTTATGCCTTGGCTGGTAGCCAGGTAGTGGTAAACTTGCGAACGATGTCCTTCTACCGCACGTGGCTTAGAAGGTAAAAAAGGACCGCAAGCTGTTAGTGGCGATGGGAAGTTTCCTCTGCTTCTCAGCTGGTTGTATGGTCACCTTCGGCTGATGGGTTTTACCCTTTTGCGTGCTTTCTAATCCCGTCCGCCGCTGTCGGGCCAAAAGCAGCTCAGCATGCTTTCCTATGATATAACTACCCTCTATCTTGACTCTGCACAGACTCAGTAGCAAGATGTCTTGAGAGCTGGGGTGCTCTTGGGTACTTTCACATAGAGGCATGGTGCGATCGCTGTTTCTTTTCTCTCTCATGTTTGTTTCTCGTCTGTTTGAGACTCCCATATGATGGGGTAAGGCAGAGAACAGTCGTTTGGCAGGTTAACATAAACCGACTCCAGCCTTGGTTGGATCGGAAAACGAGCGAATGAAAAGCTTGACGAGAAGGGAAAACAGAAAGGGCTCCGGAGGACCGCTGCGACCCATTGCTGCTTTCAACGGAAAATGAGTGGAGGCTAGTTGCCACTCATTATTGTCTTGGGTCGCCGCCACGGGCACGCCACCACAACGAATAGCTCGTATGCGTGAGCCTCCCTGCGATCTCTAGATCGCTGTGCTTTTCATTCCCTTAACCTCTATTCTTAACGTATCCGCTCGTTTATATGAATCTGATCCTAACACAGACCGCCAACGGCATCGTGTCGGTGGTTTTGAATTTGCAACTAGTACGCTTGCTATTTTTCTTGTCTCGCACTCTTTTAACTCAGGAATTGTGATCTGACATGAACAACACGACCTTCTTTACCATACTCTTCTGCATCAACGCGAGATCTGAAAACAGACTGCAACCTTGCGGAAGTTGCCTAGTAAGCGTTTGTGGAAAAAGCAATAGGGACAGAAGGCAGGGAGACACACAACGAGATCACTCAGGCACAATTACCGCATTTCGACTCGACCTGGTACGACCACTCCTATTACCAAGAAAAGACAAAGAAGTGCGCGTTCGAAAGAAAGTGGAAAGGAGATGTGAGAGGCGAGAAAAAAAATACCGAAAAAAATCTTATGATCACAGGGCGCGTCGAAGTCGAGCCCATCTCGTACCTGATCTGGCCCGGGTACCCTTCCACTTATCTCCTGCTGTTTTCTGTTTTTCCTTCTTCCAAAAAACATTATTCCCTATCGCAATTATATGCGGTTGTTTCTCTGGACCGCTCAATTCTGCAATTGATAATCTCGGAGTGTTCCCTTCTACTCAAAACTCTCAACCATGAATTCAAAAAATCCATCAAAAATGAATAAGGCTACGATTTACTGACTAGCTCATTCGCTCTTCGTGCATTACCTCCCGGCGGATAACTTGATGGATGCTATTTGTTCTTCATTAGTTTATGCGAATGAGGTACATTCAATCAAAAATCAACTTCTTCGCATTGTCGTCATGAATATTAGGGCACTCAAAGGGATCTGCTTGGTGCCTGCTGTATGTAGTCGTAGAACGTTCATTGCGCCTTTTGGAGGCCATACCTTTAGAAAATCGTATTGTCATCGGCAACAAAGACTCGTGAGAAGACAGTCTCTCAGAAAAAAGGTGTCGCCCAGAACGACAACCTAGGCCTTTTTGCTTTTTCGTAATAATAAGTGGCCAGTGTGATCCCGTTGTCGGAGAAAACCCAAACTGTTGTATTCTAACATCTTTACCATGTGTATCTGCGGCACTTTATTTGAACCCCGACTCAGTCTTCGCAGAGCCCTCGCAAGGTAATTTTGCATTTTTGTTTTATGAAATACAGCGAGCTGGGTTCGTAGTGAAAATCAGACGTATCATGTAGCAACAAAAGTTCCATATATAACTGTTTCTACATTGTGCATGATAAAAACGCATGTTACGTTATTGGGACTTTCCTCCACACGCAGCTGGTGGCCGCTAGGTTTTGTATCGAATAGTCTATATGTAGAGTCAACATTAAAGGCAGCAAAAATATTGAAAGAAAAAGATGTCGATTCTCGCTTTTTAAGATTCTTGTCACAATAGTGCTGTCTATCATTTGAGTCAGTTTGAACTTTGGCATACCTCAAAAGTCTGACATGTATACTAATAAAGGTTCTTTTCGTGAGTTTTCTCAGACGGGACTTAGTGAGAGTATTTCATCGCAATAAACGCCTAATATGTAATAGACTGATTGGCGACGATTAGAAATTAGCCGGTATGGCGAAGAGTATTATATCCCCACCGATGGGAAAAAGAACAAATGCATTTCTTGGAACAATAAATTTCCTGAACCCGTTTCACTTGGCCATTCTACCGGGCAGGATGTCATCGCCTTGCTGTCAGTTCTTCTTGAAATTTCGTAGATCACCGAAATAGCATCCATAACCTGTATAAGTGGTCGGTGTATCTAGCGGCTTCCCTTTAGACGTTTCATTGCGAAATTGTAACTTTGCTCAACTTTCGCAAGCGCGTCAGCCGAGTTCCTTTAAGAACCGTGTAAGTGGCTGCTGCATGACTGTACAGAGCCCGCGTTCTTATTTTCCTCTTATTAAAGAAGAAGTAAGCTCGTATAGTCTCTGCGGACATTGAAGCAAGCCGAATACCGCTTACTGCGCAGACAATACAAGTAACTTACACTGTTGGTGCCAAATGAATACACTTCTCTAGTTTTTTTTTCCCATATTAAACAACAGCGTAGCGGTATTCATGCTCTGATTTACCCTTTGGAGCCTATGTTGTTTAGATGATGTCGTCAAAAGTTTCTTATATTGCCTTAATACGATCAAAGTACCTTTCGAGAGATTTGAGCGTTTGCTGACTAACAAGACGAGTCTGCGCCGCCCATTGTACAACTAATTTTGTAATCACTGTTGCTTCCATCGAATCCAAGTGATCCTTCCTCTTTAGTTTGTTACAAATTTTCCGTGAATCGGCATATTGGGTTCTGCATTCTGTAGCTGCTCGTTTATCTCACCGTTAGTACAACGACGAGGCTCGGCTGCAGGACATTATATACCGACATGCAACTGGAACCGGAAATGCATTTATTGTCACAATGTCTTTTTCGTTCCGATTTATCTAGATGTATATATAAATCACTGTATGAAAATCAATTGCTTTGTTTGCAGGCTTGAGAGCGGAAACGATAAGAAGGCAAAAATGACACCCTTTGAAAGCGGACAACATATATTGCAGGAGTATACATACAAGAAGGTGGCTGCGTGTGACGTCTGCAGGGAGATTTTACGGGGCCACGTACGGCAGGGCCTCAAGTGCAAGCTGTGTAAGATTAACGTGCATGCGGAGTGCCAAGACAAGGTACCTCGCTGTCAGCCGAAACCGAGGCTACTCAGGCGTCAAAGAAGTACATCAGAAATCGAGAGCAGGATCGCCGTCCCCGTTGATAATGAAGACGAGAGTGAGTTGAACCCATAATGAATCTAATATTTACAAACTAGCTCATGGCCACTCATATATATATATATATCAATAGGGGCTATTATTATTAGGGCTATTATGTTGACCTCAATTTAATAGCGAATAATCAAGTCTTTTCGCTATGCATATATTATGATAGACATTTTAACTTAGCGGCTACAAAGATATGCTTAAAGTCAAATCGTTGTGAAATCCTGTCGTACTACCAACTTATACTCTTCGCAACCGTTAGAGATATGGGGCATTTAGAAGAGCCAAAAGTGTAGAATGGCAGTCGATACCATATCCCTGTATGCATGGCGGCATTTTTTTCGAGTAACATAATCATTATTACCGAAAGTTAAATTGGTCAATTATTAACTAAAAGGCGTATATTAAGTAGGGTATACGCTAGTTCACGCAATTTCCATTCTAGAGTATTCTGCAAAAATGACTAAGAGCTTCTTTATAAACCTATTCGTGTGCTGGTTTTGTACTTTGATTGCCTCATACAGTATTATCGAATTTCCATTCCGTGTTACCTTATTTGCTAGCTTTCTCTTCTTCAAATATTATCTAACACATTTAATCCTTTGAGTAGAGGTTCACTGGATTTCTCCAAGACGGAAACCTGTCGAGGTCTATTTTGTATCGTAACGGTGGTCCATTAAATATATTCAGGAATTCTGTTTTCTCCCCACGTCATATATATCAAGTGCTCGTCTTCACATGGCTTCAACTTAAAAACTCTCAACTTAATCTGTGTCCGTTTATTACTACCCATCCTGAATTCTGCTCTGCGGCTAAATGGAACGCCAAACCACCTGACGATAAATCTGACTTAACACAAAAACCAGCTTAATTTCCCGATTGATTTTTTTAAAATCTTAATATATATATATATATATATATATATATATATATATATAGAAGCTTAATTTATATTGTATAGTACGCTAACGCTCGCAACGCATATCTTTTCCGGGCTTGAACAAAACATTTATGCATTAGGCAGACCTGCTGTATTTATTCACTAAACACTTGTTATGATATTTATCTATTACATATAGCTTAACCAGTACCGGTTTTTGCTAAAAACCTAAGTCTGAATGTTTCGAGTTTCACGTCCAGCGCCGCCGTTAGGCATTTTACCACGGAACTATCACGGAGACAAGAACTAAACCCTAAGCGAAAAAAGGCCGATCAATAATTCTCCATAGTTCAACCGGACAAATACCATCGTACGAGAAAACTGCTGCTATTGATCCTGTCACACCACAGGCCACCGTAGCTGCTTACGACACGCCATCGTCCATTGGACGTCACCGGGCCATAGATACACAAAAACGGCATAGAAGAGCATTCAGAAAAAGGGGGACTAGGGTAGTACATAAATGGCATTAATCTGACACATATTCAGTTTGACTTGCCCTGCTTTTTTTTGCAACTGCCACTAGGTGTGGTACTATTGGTAGCCAATGCGGACGTAACATTTGCCGAGCGAACAAGTTTGCAGAGCGTACAACGTAGCAGAGAAGGGATGAAGACCGGAACCGGATGGGAATATCAGTAGGATTCTTGACTGTTGACTATAGCTGTTGGTTGACTTTAATCAGAAGCGAGAGGAAGTACAGACAATAGGGTTTGTCTGGTCGGCCTTGGCAAAAACTGGTGTTGCCTTATACGGAAGGCGCCAAGGTAACGAGCAGAAGATATGATAGGGACATCAGGTTCAGCATCACTACGCTAAGATGGACAGCAAAGAATAATTTTCCAATATTAACGTATCCTCTTGCTAACCCAACGATACACAGGTCCCGTTGTCCGGCGTATACTCCACGAACTCTATCTATCACTGGATAATAATCCGAATTTTCGATGCATTGTCGGAAGGCTTTCCTACTATATGCGACACCAGGTCATCTGTTAGCAACAAACCCGCTCTCGTATAAACACTTACTGAAAAAATAAGCTTCAATAAGGCTTAATGTCCTTGTGTATTTAAGCGTATGATTCATGCGTGCGATGAATTGCGGTAGAGTGTGACACATAGGACCGCAATAACTCGAGTAGCATTCAGTACGCAAACGTATACATCTATAAAATGCACCACTTGTTTACTCATTTATTTACGTTTCAGTATTTTCAAGTGGATGCGTAGGCACACATCTGAAGCGACCGTAGCTATGGCGGGAAGATTCAACTCGAGCAAAAAAGCTATCTGAATGTATTCATTCACTTATTCAGCTATCATCCGCGTAGAATCTTTCCACAAACTGTGTGTGACTACTATCGTTTTCGTTTATTATTAATTATGATAGTTGAAAATAATAAAAATAAATTTGTATTTTTATAGTATGTACGCATATATGCTTCTCATTGATGTTCTCTTACCTTAATTCACTTACATGATTGGTCTTGAAGTAAGGGATGAAACATATAGTTAGAATGGCCGACTAGTGGAATTTCAGGCTCGTACCATTGCCTGCCAACCTAGCCCCGTGAAAATGAAAGGCAACATCTACACGAGTTCAATATACGTTGTTGCGATCTCCCTTTGTTCTGACGGCTTGTCAGTCCCATTGAGACCAAGCTCCACGTCCGGGCTAGCTAGTGTCGTATTGGAGTGTTACACATACATTAGGGCAACAGTTTTTTTCCATCAGTGTCGCATAATGCTAGCGAAGAGAATGAAGGTTTCAAGGGATAAACCTAGTTTTCCTTTTACTTGCTTATAGGGCAAAGTTGAGGGGCTGACAAGCCCTGTTCACTTTAACGTAACACTGGGCCGAGAGGGGTAAATATTCCTGCTGTTGAGATGAAATGATTTTTTTTAATGCATATAATTAATTCAACTGGGTTAAATTTACTGCGAGTCTCCCGTATGATATCGGTATAGCGTGAGGATCGCCAGCTGTTGCGTGAATAGTAGCACCTGCTGAATGTACGACTATTAGAAAATTGATAAGTACAAATGTTTGCATCAGCATGTAGCCCAACGATACTGGTACTCTTTGGAAATGTACCAGACACTTGCTTCATAAACAACTGGCATCAGATGAACTAATACAGGCTACAAATAAGTTCGCGTAGCAAACATCAGCAGATGGTTTCGACGTAGCATATTCCTGTTAATGCTTCATCGTTATCCGAATTGTACCTGTTAATATGAGGAAGCTTGGGAACGTCGTTGCGTATGTTAAGGTCTTGCAATGTCGGATTTGTTCATTTGCCTTTTGCTCAATCGAGCAGAGCCTATTCGACCTGCGACCTATGAGTCTAGTGGAAAGAAAAAAAAAGCTCATTATAGAGATAAGCCTTTAATCATTTAATGTAGACAATGACTCTCGTAACCTAAAACAAGCTGGAACTAGCTGAGCAAATTTTTTTGCTGGCTTCTGCTTATAGAATCCTGCGGTAATATCACAACGTTCGTTATTTACACAAATTGTGTACTATTTATGTATCAATACTATATGAACCGATATATGGAATAAGGCAATAGTGTGGACTCCAATATTTGTCCTCGAATGGGCATAGGACCTCAATACTGCACATGACCTTATGGGACGCGTCAACGACCGTACTTCCCAAATAAAAAGCCATCCTTATTGTCACACGTTGATAACACTGTACAATACGTCTATTCGGTGATAACATGGCACGTATACGTAATTAACAGACACGTTGCCATATCGTTGCAGATTTCAGCGTGGCAAAAGTTATCGCCCAGATATCAGTAATCATCAAATAAAGGGATAATAATAAATAGGGGAAAATAAATTATAGATATTTAGTATGGTGCCATGCCATTTCATATTTGTTAGAGAAACTCCCGCGTGGGTTGAGCAAGATCTCCTCTGATTAGACTCCTAATGGAGGCAAAATCTTGATGCTGCACCTATAGGTGATTCAAAGGACTTGTTCATGGAGGCATAATACTTGAAAGTGCTAAATGAACAAAAAACATGTTTTTAAACTACGCATTTATATAAACGTTACCCAACATTGCCATGCTACGTTTTTGCCGCAATTATCTTATTATTTACCTATTATAGCTCTACGTGTTGTTCCATAACGATTTTCTGCTTACAGTTTTTCCATCACTCTGTGACACCACTGTGCTATCCTTAATTCGTCCCTCGCTGGTAGTTGTTCCACCAAGATGAAGTTAACCGATAGCTTTTATGACGGCATATTCATCTCAGGACGTTTGAAATGTCAAGCATGTAAACCATATGACAGAACCGATATCTCGTCTCATAGTAGGAAGTGTACAACATTGATCTTCTTTCCGTAATAACATTTTGTACTTCCTATGTAGAACTTGAAAGATCAAGCAGGTCCTATGCTAAGAAGCTTCTCGAGCTTCGGCCATTGTGAAAATGTATAACAAAATACTATTTCTACTATTTATATAACTATGTTTTTGCGTTTATGTCTATGGAAAAAGTTATGTATATTTATTGGCGTAAGTTATATTCTTTTAAGATACGTCGTTGTGTTCCTTTGTCAAGTCGATCCACAAAAATCACAGTCATCATTAAAGCCATTTCCAAGACAGTGGGCACTCATCTTTCGTACGTGGATATTTAAATATCAGTAATTGCTCGGGTACTAAACGGCGCGAATAACAAGTCCGCCGGGAAAATTAGCACCCAAACACCGGTCTAACTTCTCAGCGATGGGGCTGCTGCTAAGTAGACTAGCTCGCCGACGAACTGTTTAAACCGCAAATGCAAGCTTCATAATCGTGAATCGCAACTAGCAACGTGCAAGTTAATTCTGCGATGATTATTACGAGCCAAGGCTTGTTGAAAATACTGCGAAGGCAAAGCAGGACCAGGAAAGTAGTCAGATAGGTAGGTACCTGTGCGCTATTCAGGCGCTGCGAATGCTTGTACCAGAGCGATGCTAGGAGCAATGTTTGGGGGTCGTTGAGGGTGCGAGCAGAGCTCAAAGGGACGGACTCGGCCGCAGGGAATTACCTTCGCAGTGACGGAACTGGTAAAGGTTTTGGGTTCTGCCGGAAAAAATGAAGACAACATAATTACCGAACATATAGCTACGCATAACGCAAAGCTGATAAAATTATTTACGAGATTATTCAACTATTGGTTCAAACGAACGAAGTCACAATAGGTGTGAGGGGCGAGTACTGGATTTCTGATTGCTGCGTGGCGGTAATGAAACAAAATGTGCATTACATAAACAATAAATATCCTACTTTTGGTTGGTAATAAGTTTATAAAGCCCTGCGGCCTACCAGTTAGTCAGTACCCGATGAATGGCCTACTTCGTTCATAACTCATATGTACATGCACATAAGAATAAGGGTAAAATGAGGCTTAGGGCGAGTGAGTCTATTCTTAAAGAAGAATCAAATAAACAAAAGGCAAGTTCATAGCCGAGTGTGTCTCTTTCTCAATTGGCACTCCATCTTTCTCCGAATAGAAAGACTATTTTTTCCGAACTATAAAGTTAAGGCTTACTAACTCTAAGCCCATCTTCAATTTTCCGCTCTTCCTGTAAACACATGTCATATATATATGTACGGGCGAATCGAAATGAATAATACCATATCACTTGCTACGTACATTACCAAATACTCTCATTTTGTTATCGCTACTGCATATGTAATTGTAGAGCTGGCGATGAGCAACGGAGAATGTGGACCTGGTATTGGAAGCATAGTAACGGGTGCCTTCGGGGGCTTCGGCCCCACGGGGGGTGCGATAAGAGGCGTAGGCAGGGGCGGGGGGCTTAGCGTTGACCCCATCTACCAATTGCTTAAGCAGGCGGCAGAGGTCGGCAGCAGCGGTGCTGGCAGCAGCAGACTCAAAGAGGGCAACGCCATGAGCTCCGGTTCGAATCTTGGCCTGTTGCCATCGGGTCAGCGATCCGACAACTTACAAACACGCCGGCCACGTTCGAACGCCTCTTCCACATCCTCTTCGTCGCATATGCTTACCGTGTCACCACATGCGCCGCACCACTCCTCCTCTTCAGGTCAGTGGTCTAACAACACAACTGGTAAAATGCAAGGCAAAACATGGATTTAGCAAAAAGTAGCAAGGAGCACAAAGATAACATATATTCAGTAAGCCGTTTTTATATTAATTCAATTTTTTAGCTAATCTTTCACGGCGTGGCTGCTAACGTAAGAAAGAGTCAGTAGTGCCATCGAAGCGGGTGTCACGAAAGAGGTGTCTTTACGCTGCCTGTCGCTGTATGTCATTGCTTGACTCGGTCGAAGTGGCCACTCTGGTGAATTTTATAGAGAATATCTAAAAAGTACGTTTTGGGGGAGTGGGTTTCCTGTGTTATGCGTACATAAAGGTCAGGTTTTACGATGGAAGTCGAATAGTATGTCTACAGGATGACCAAAAACTTGCTAAAAGGAGTTAAGCTATAGTCCCGAGAGAAAAAAATGCACGTTATACGGTGATCATCTTATATAACGCACATAAATAGACCAGATTTGTCGTATTGTTATGTATGTATGTCTGAATTTGCCTCGGCAATATGAGTCTATCCAGTATGAGTTAGAGGAACGAATACTAACAACTTTGAATTTGTTTTCATATGCCTATGGTGTATAAGGTTTAAAAGGTCCGCTAAAAGTTTCTCATAAACAAAGTTTATGCGTGCAAGATGTACATTGATTAATGACTATGTAGTGCCATTTTCCTGACATGCTAAACGATCTTCAGCGAGTCGGGCCATATCCATCATAGATCATGATAGACATGGCCCGAAGTCCAACTTACGCCCGCTCAAAATCGCGCATCAGCCGTCACCTTAAAATATATATTTACTTCTCAAGAGCTAAAATAAAAAATTTGGCTGATCCGAGTTCGAAGGGGCGCTATCACACGTGGACAAGAACACACATAGCACATTAACGAATACTATCTAGCTTCATTGTAACATCGATATTGCTTTAAATGTCTTGGCTTGAGCGCCGTTACCGCGTCGGTTTCGTGCCCTGTGCGACTGAATAACAAGCAAATACTATGTGCAGACCACAAAAACGCCCGATATATTTAGATGGGCTTTAAGTGTTTCCATATTACTTACATTCAACGCTTCTACTCATACAATAGAAACGGTGAATAGGCATACAGCTACTGCTCTTCTTACGCGGATGTTAGTTCGCCGAGAAGGGTTTCCTTTTCTAGCAGTTACAAAATAAAGATTAGCGCACACGTGCAGACATAAGTATCTCCGGAAGCTCCTGTACAGTACCATCATTGAGTAAATACGTGCTACACATTAGTCGAATTAAATAAGCTATATATATATATATATGTGATAGATAATGCATTTTCTTACATTATGCTTGTCGTCGTGTTTTCATTGTGAGATATTGACGTGTATCTTCATTGTTAGTGAAGAGCTTACATTCAACAAACAATACGCAAAAACTTTTGGGGCCAATATACAACCAGTATGGAGATTCTCTTCTAGACGACAACGATTAAACTGTTCGTTACGATCTTCACATGCTGTATTTCCTCTCTCCTCTCTTCCCCTTCTTCTGTTTGCTAACTTAGTGCTTTCGTGTGTGGGTGAACGTCTTCGTGATCGAACCTCACTCTCCAGCCATGAACATTTTAAAAAACGCAATATTTGTCTTATTATTTGAATATTATTGTTGTCGTCAAGCCCGGCAACTTTGTTGTCGTTTATATCTTAGTCTGTACAGTCCTTCTTCCATAAGCGCGACGTCGCCTTCATAATGGCATCCTATAGCGGTGTTTAGAGAAAAAGAGAGGGAACTAAAGAATTCAGAGGGATAAGAAGGTAATCGAGCAGTTGTCTGATCGCTGGTTGACGGTAGGTTCAGAACGCAAAATTTAGGCTGTACGTCCCCAAGAAGCCATTTCAATCGCACTAATCGCGACAAGTAGGAAGACACCACGAGCCTCTGCTTCTTGTTCCGGATGATCTTTCAGAAATTATCTACAGGCACGCCTAACGACCCGCTAACCCCGCTAGCTCGAACGAGCCATCGTTCTATTAGTGCTACACTATCTCAGCCTAGTTAGCCGGTTTTCTCTCAGCTGCACTCTCTTTCTTTCTCTCTGTCTCTGTCGCCTCGTTGGCCTCTAACTACCTGTAGTTCGTCGGACCAGCAATTTTTTGACTCAGCTTTCACCTATTGGCACTTGTTGAAGCGTGCTTCGGTACCGATACATCGAGTGACACGGCAGCTCACGTATGGAAGGCGCCAATCGATTTCAACTCGCAGCTAACGCACAACCGAGATACATTTAATTGAATCTTCGCGGAGTTCGACCACTAAACAAGAGAGCACACACTCTGCACCTACTAATACGCTAATTAAGAAAAGTATCATTTCAGTTGGCAATAGGTTTCATCGTGGTGCCGTGCTAGTGACGCTCATCGGAGCTTCCTTTTTTTCGGGCTAATTAAAAATTCATCGAAGTGTAGGGAGCCACGTGTAAAAGGCAGGCAAGTCGACAATCCAATAAACAGCATATCTTCTCCGCGTAAAATCGCGTACTTTATAGACTAGAGCGATATCAGGGTCAATCTATGTATATTTCAGAAGATGACGTGATCCCTTTTGGAGAGAAGAAACGCTTTATCTATTCTGGAGTCTCAGTACTGATGCGCATTCTTTGATAAATCAGAATTCGGAAAGACGACCGGCTTCACTTTAATCCGCTTTAGCGCTTGGCTAATTTTGGGCTTCTCTCTCTTCATATTCAAACTGTGTCAGCAGTACGGCATACTGGCGAAGTAATCTCCATCTTCGTAGCTCTACTGATCAAATCGAACGCGGGTATCCTTACTACACCCTAGTTTTCGTATATTTTATCTGTATTTAGCATTCAACCGGCAATGTTGTGTTACACCGATTTCAGTTCTAGGTCGGTCTCGAAGGAGACGTCTCTGGGAAAAGGCTACGAACTGGGATATTTTCGCACTCACTTGGATCTTGTAGTTGTTCTTCTTATACGACTTAGTTGTCGAATAGTTTAATTGATTTAATAATTTTATTTACTTATTAATTTATGGCACACGGTCAGGAGAAATGATAATTTCTTCTGATTGTGTGCCATAAAAGAATTCTTTCTTGCTTGTATGATCTGTTTCTGTAAGTTTTCGCCACAAAAAGCGTCTCCTAATTTAAGTTATGCAGCACTTGTCAAGTCCTCATTACGCAAGCGGTTCGGTTTTGCAAGATAGACGGTTATAGCTCGCCGTCGACACCCCTTTAGATCCTCAGAGCTCTTTCTAAATATTTTACGCTTCAGGTCCAAGTCAACCTGTCATATTTTTGGCCTTATCCACCTCGCCGTCACTAATTAACCTGCTTGATTGAACCTTGTCGAAATTCCTTCAACCTGTCTTGTTCACATTTTTCTTAGGCACTGCAGACAATTTTCTCTTCAACTATCTTTGGCCCTCTAAGGTTCTCTACCGCTACCGAAACTACCCAGGTTTTTCAGTGCACATTTGATTCGACGCATCGGCAATATTCTGATCAACAATCAACGCTTACGTACTAATTACGTATTAGGACTATTTATCCATACTTTTTTCGAACACGTTTCAATTAGTCTCCTCTAGTAGTGCTTCACCTCTGCGAATTATTGCCGCCGACAAATTGAATATGTGTCGAGAGTATTTAGAGGCGCCGCATCCATTGGATCACCTTTATTACTCGCTTTTATAACTATATGCTTGTATATCTACGTACCTATAGGTACGGAAATATACCTATGACATCTTTGAACGGATGAATGTCATTTTTCGAGAACGGATGATCAAGGAAACCACCAGCCCAGGACAGAACGTTTAAAATGGAAGGGATTATTGCCCTCCCTAGAAAATGGTCTTTGTAGTGAGGCCTTGGGGGATGACCACCAAGCAACGCTTTGTATGTGAATAAGCCTATGACTGCGTAAAACAATTAATAGGCAGAAAAGAGGATCACTGTGACTGACAGACCGAAAGAAGAAACTTGAAAGCATGGCACACTTATTCTCATAAAATAGATTCGATTTTTTGCAACAAGTTTGGTAAGATTTTGCGAAGTTGTAGAAGCTTTACCCCCCCCCCCCCATCACCACTTCCGGCGCGGCCATGTCTATATAGTATTTATTTATTTGGTAAGAGAACTAGACAACGTCTCTAGTCCTACTATATCGTAAAGATATGCGCGAATGTCGATGTGGGCCAATAGTGTAGTTGTAAAAAAAGAGGAAATTGGAGGCGAAAGGGCAGGGTGGCTGGCTGGAAGTGGCTCATGATGTTTAGCAACAGGATTCACTATCTTCTGGCACAGTGTGATACGCTTCGCATAATAGTCAACCTTTTTACAAGTGTATAATATATATATACTCCTCTATTTTTCTTTCTATTTATACTATATTGTCGTCAATGTAGATATGAATATAAGGCCTCCGATACACATATATAGCTCCATATCACCCCTATATAAATTTATGGAGACTATCGCAGACTTTTTAGCTGTAAAACAGCGCTGGATTTTTGAAGGAACGACCATGTAACTGTAAAGGTTGTTCGACACAAAATATCCTTGCTGAGTCGACTATATTAATAGACGGCGTTTCGGCTACTGATTTTAAGTAGATAAAAATGTTTGTCAGCATCGACGATAGAGAATATTTTTTGTCGTTTACAGGGACTATTTTTCCTACTATATACACATTCATATATTTACTGTTGGCCTTTCTGAATATTGAAAAATATTAATTGCGTTTAAACAACGCTTTACTGGCAGATAGTCTTAGTTATACATATGGCTATAAACTGGTTATTACTCAGATTAAGTTGGATTATTATTACGTTAGAATAGTGAGTTCAGAAGTTGAAAATTGTATCGTTTACTAGTCGAAGATTAAAGCTCTGTGATTAGGTATTTTTTTTTCTCGAAAATAAAAGCGTTAAGATAAGTAAAAACGCTAAGCACGAAGGCCTTCACGAAGGCCGAACAAAACAACGGATCGTTATTGGGTCATCTCAGAAACGGAAACTGGGGAATTAAAGGCCACGGTTAAGATGACTTCACTTCAGAGTTTTCTATGGAAGAACGAGTTTGAGCAAAATAAAGCATGGCCAATTGGTCTCCCTTTAGGCTCGCATGAAACTCCTTCGAGCACGTGTTCTAGATTGTAACGAAACGACTAGAATGAGGAAGAAAAGCAAGAAAAGTATTTTCTTATGAATTAAACCTAGGACAAATGAGAATACGTGTATTGTATTCTAAGTACAATTAGCAGAACTAGTTACCAGCAGAAATCCCACGTGGAGCACGACGTCGTTATGGGTATAACATTAGTCAATTTGTGCCCTTTACCAGAAAGGGGCTGAACGAGGAAATGTCGAAGAAGACAGAAAATGATTTTGGTGGCAATATCAAAAGATCTGGGCATATGCTGATGCTTCTATTCGCAATGAATATCAAGAGCATATAGCCTTCCAAGGCACTATCCAGGAAGGATATGTCTAATGGCGCTAGATGCCTCGAATCGTTGATATATTTATGCTTTATATTTATCGTGCAACCTCCATGCTTCCATCTTTCGAAGAGGGCAATAGATGACATAGCGTAAATTACCATAGATTCTCTCAGATAAGCCATCAATAGCAAAATTAGGTACCCTAACGCCAAGCACAAGTATATAAAAAGCTCCCACAATGCAAGCTTTTATGGGCCGACAATAAAGGGGTGCACATCTTACATATATTAAAATATATATTTCTTATTACACTATATATGGTGTAGCAGTTTCCAAGTTTTCGACCTTCTAAATAACTTCGGGCAACATAATAAAGTTGATTACTATGAGACCATTAAAAAACAAGTCTATGCACGAGTCTTTTAAGTTAGGATAATGTGTGCATTTATCACTTTTTGAGTTAGACAACAAGATATTTTGCAGTTGTTGTTTCTTAAGTTCGAATCTGAAAAAAAGATTTTTTCTGCGGACGAAATCGGTAAAATGGCAACCGACATTTTGACCTTTTTGCTATCATCAAATCGAAAAAAACGAAAGGAAAAATAAGCGTACCTTTTTTCACTGGCGTTATTATCGTTAGTTAATATTTTTTGTTTTTTGTTCCCCGTGATGATGCTTACGCGCGATGCGGCCGCGAACAACAACGTCTGTTCCTTCTCCAATAGCCCTCGCCGACCGACGACGCCAAATTGTCTCAGGTACTAGACAACGATTGCTGCTTTCTCTGTCTCTACAATTGCTCTTCGTTGAGTCTTCATTCTTGTTCCGTTCAGGCAGCATTTTAACTACTCGTCTGTACTGCATTATGGTCTTTCCAGTATTTCTTCATGTAACGTATATTATATGTTTGTTTCTTCTGTCTTCTACCTCTTCTACACATTTTAGCTCTGTTTCGGTATATGTTTGTTTTTCCTCTCTTCTATCTCTTCTACACAAATTTACCTCTGTTTCTGTATATGTTTGTCTTTGTTCCTTCTCGTTTTTCTACATAGTAAATATACTCAACTAGCCATTAAGGTTTTTAACTTATCCACTTTATATCTCATTCGCTTCATTCAATTTCCTTTACTCGAAGTGTCCGTCACGTCACTTTGGTCGCTCTAGTCTCTCCCCTCGATCTCTTTGCGTTAATAGATTCGTCTTTGTGTCTTCGTATGCTCTATATCTGAATCTCTGTAGCTCTTCATTTGCTATTCTGTAATACCTACTTAGAGTACATCGTACTGCACTGAATCGATAGAGTTTTGCACAAACACTGCTTCACGTTAATGCGTGTGCCACCATCGTGTCTTGTAAATGAATAGGTGTGTCTTAAGTGTTTGTCTGGGCTCGTCCCGCCACTCATCCCTGAACTCACTTATAACAGTACCGCGACTGCTTACTACGATTGCGCGTTTATTACACGTAGATAGCGCCGACTGTTACGTGCTGGATGTAACATTCTCAGCGCACTATGCGTTGCATAAAGATCCATTCCACATACCTTCAATATGATTCATAATTTTACAAAAAAAAATAGAATATAATCACACAATGTATCCGCGCTCTTCCGAACACACAACACCTTTAAAGCCTAAAATTTCTAGGTTCACCTACAGCTTCATAAAGCGCTTAGGATAGGCCCTTAGTTTTGTGTTATCTTTTAGGGACGTCTTCATGCATATCATGCTATATTCGAATCTGTCTTAATCAAATGCTGAACACGCTTTTGGAAAAGCTGCACCCCATTAGTTTTCCGCAAGTAAAAAGCTACTTAATACCTTCTTGTCCGTGTCCAGTAGAAACTATAATACTGACATTTTCACGAGTATGTCTAACAATAAACAAGGACTACCCTTAGTCATGGGACGTATAACAGATATAATTGCAGACTTATGCTTCTTTCGGGTGCGAGAGTAATCTTGGGCTAAATTTATAAGCGGTGTGGCTAAGGTCGAAATAGCTCGATGTTCGAAATGTTCTCGATTCTTATATTGATTCTATGAAATAGATGAATTTTACTGAAATTAACGAAATGCTAGTTCTACTTAGAAAAGCCTAGTGCTGCTCGAACACTGGCACTTATTGGACTTATTTCCAGAATCGGGTAGCACCTAATGCTTAACATGAATACTCGGAAGAGCTTTGCTAAAGTACAAGCTCCTGGCCTACCTGTCAGACCCTAACTGCGTTCTCCCTGTCATAACGAGCCTTGGTCCTGTCCTTCCGGACCATTATATTTAGATACTCAAGAGCCGTGTCGAAGATTCAGGACGAATGTACCATATACTTTTCTGAGTTCTACGACTTTGCAGGACAGTATCGATCGAAGATGGTCGGTAGGTTTACATTCATCTCACTCCGCCACTGAAAGGAGCTATAGAGTACTGCAGTGGGAGGTAACGAAGGCCTAATTGAAAGCATTTCGACATACGTCTTGGATTCACTATTGCGATCTCAAACGTTGTTATTCAATGGATGAAATAATTTCAAACATGACCGGTTCTCTGCATGCCTTATTTTGCTATTGCCCTCTTAATGTCTGTGCTGCTGGTGCTCGATGCTTTGTGGTAGTTAGCTAGGGTTGACGCTTTGCCCCTGTGCAATAATACGAGCAGTAATTAGTGTATCATGTTCGATGTTCCATGGCTCTTGTATGTTATGTACTTTGCTTTAGAAAGATCGTTAGAAGCAATGACGTGGCTTTCCAGCGCAGGCTTGGTTACTTTCTGTTGTTTCCATTATAAGCGTTTTTAAATATCGATATTCAGGAGACGAATAAAAGCTGTTTTGGCCATCAGCCTTGCTGCGATGCCGTCGTTGGATCCCGTTTAAGGTCAGACTTTCGGATGTAGCCGCCTACAACACATACCCTAAAAAATACGATTGAAGCAGAAAACAAATTATATACCTTATAGCACTGACTTTTTTTTTGTTGTTTTATAGACGTTTGCTTAACGGGTACTTGATTCAATATGGTATGGAGGCCATGTGCCCTTTAAGGTCTCAGCCCTATTTTAGTCCAGTTCCCAAGCTCAGTAGTTTTGTCCTGACAAGATTCATTTTCAATATAGGTATTTATATGTACAATGAATTTGTATAGTTTTGTTGCCTCAAAACGTATAAATATGCTTGTCACCTATTTTTAAACCTATACCCGTGATAGTAAATTTTCCACTATCCGAACAGCTAACTACCTATGTACCTACATCCATAACCATCTTAATAATCGAAATCTGCGAATCTAATCTACATAGCTGATGCTTGTACAATTCTTACGCTAAGTGGCGATTTAGCCGTGTGCAGCTTTTTGCTATTAACAATTGAATGCTGGGCTTGCTTGCCGATTTGTTGATCAATTGATTGATTGGCTGGCTCATTGATTGATGCCTTGTTGACCGAGCAGACACGATGTTGTCTGTTGCTCCTGTCTTTCTTTTGTTCGTAGCCCCCCATAGTCCTCAGAGGAAAAGGCTGAACCTTCGAATGAAGTCCCTCTCGTTGGACTCACCTGACGCGAATGGAGATCCGCAGCACCGCCGAAGACAACAACACCCCAGCCATCCAGGCCACCACGGGCCTCCAACGTCTCACGGCGGCTCACATAGCCAGTGTAAGTCCCTACGACAACAAGTTTTAGGCCAGTCGTTGCGACTGCTTACGGTCGCTTTTGACCGTGCATTTTCTCTCCGACGACAACACTGGGTTAGACAGCGCTCACATCGACAACGCCGCTAAGAGCAGTAGCAATCCTTTCTGTTTGGCCATCTGCTATCGTAAAGACTTCGTTTCCAGCGTTCAAGGTAGTACGGATTTCCTGCAATCGGACGTAGCTTGACGCACGGCTCGCTTCCCTGACACCGTGTCGTAACAACGTAATCTCTACAAACAATTACCGAAATTAACGATTACTTGCCACTAACCAAGAGAAGCTACTAATTCGTTCAAGCACTTTACATGGTTTTGCATAAAATACAGTGTGTAGGGTGTGCCGTACTAGATACGCACACGCAGATGGAAACGACCATATCCACATAGTGGAACTCGAGTAAGCTTAGTTCTCATGAATATATTCGAAAGGTCATTTACCGTCACATCTACGACTTCGTGCAATCCTTTACTTTTTCCAATACCTAACTGTCGGCTAATTCTAATTTTCTAACTTGTGTCAAATTCACATTGTTCAACTTACGACACATGCGCACAAACCAGATGTTTACAGCAGACTTCATTCACACAATGAGCTTTAACTGTTCGTGTTAGCTCATCGCAGAAAAGCACGCATTCGTGAACAGTAGCACACGTATATAGGCATTCTGTAGTGAACCGTGTGCGTGGACGTGGTTACATCGGTATAAGTACATTTGGGCGCGCACGTATAGAAAAGAACGTGCCCTCGTTCTGCCGATGCGCTGCTATTCTTTTAACTAAACCAGCGGCTTAGGTATTGGAAAAGTAAAGTGAGACTCTGTCCACAAGTAAAACGTGGCAAGCATTCGAACATTTCTACCTACACCTACGATATCTACATCTCGTTCTCAATGTAGCAACAACAGCAAGATCAGGTGCTGATCGGAGCTCGGTACATAGCCACTGCTGGCGAATTGCGATAGCGGACGTTCCAGTATTAAAATCACAAGCAGTGATTTGACCTCAAATCTGTAGCTAAAAACATACCTCGTAGTGCATGGCAAGCCGAGAGACAAATCTTGACGCGGCTATGCTTTTGCAAGGCCGGCGTCGAACATAGCTGAGAGGCGGTATTGAAATGAGAAACCGGCGAAAAACGACAAAGGTTAAAATCTAGAGGAGATTCAACTTTGGCGAGGATTAACTTTAACTTTCGGGATCTGGAGAACACACATTTTACCGCGCAAAACCAATTGCCTGAAATGGAGAGCAGCTAGGATGGGGCAGAGATGCGGGCAAGAATACAACTCTGCCGTTGTTGTATTACTGCAATGGCGTCGAATGAAAGTGACACTGTCACATGATCAGAAAAAACCGTGTGCCTATACGTCACAAGTCGAAAAACATAGAGAAGATGACAAGGATACGCCTGTGCGATGCTGTCATTTTGATTGGGAGCCTTGGTTTTTTCTTTTGCTAAGATGAATCAAGGGGCCAAGAAGGTGATGCTAAGCGAAATGTCGAAGAGGGATGAAACAAAAAAAAAAAAAAAAAAAACACAAGTCAAGTCAGAACAACGAAAATGAACAGCCATGGGTTCTGGTATAGCTCGACCCACAAATAATGAAACACTGCGATAAAATCTGCTAATAACGTGATCGTAGCCGGTTTTGGAGCCGTAGATTTGGATAACCGGCATTGGCAGGAATGTTTGAGGGAAAAGCAGGGTCCATGAGCGATATTCATTTCAGTGACGGTACAAACTTTGCTCTTTCCCTATTTTACTGTCGTCGCTAGAAAGTGCTATTCATATTCAGGTGACGTATAATTTACTTTTAAAATATAGTTGTTAAAAACCTTTAATAAATTTTATCAAAACAAGCCTCAAGAGCTATTCTAATGCGCAAGATAAATAGCAAAAGAATCGCTATGTGTGAAGCCGCAGTGCATGAGATAGTGAAAGCGCCACATAATAGATTCCTAGTAATAATAATTTCCTACTGAGATTGAAGCTACGATACAAAAGGTTGAAACTTGTTTCTGCAACTGGTGCTTGAAAGCTTTTTGCGAATACTGCCAGAGCTGAGCTATCACAAAATGACGTTTTCCTATTACGTCATGTACGAATATACTATAGTTGTGTACAAGACATAAAGTAAACACCAAGTAAACTCAATAGCTAAAAAAAGAAACGCATAAATATATTATTAATGGTGCCGAACCCTCACGGCTGAGCAGCATACGCCATGCGTGCCTTCAGCTATCCGACCGAATCTCTGGTCGAATCGAGAAGTCAGAAAGAGAGGCAGTAGTCACAACTGACGTTGGCTTTCCTTATGCCTGTGCCCTCCTGCGGTCTGCTACCAACGTCATGCGCGCACAGCTCCTCAGAGTCCAGTGACGAATCGGCGGCAATTTCTGTCAGCGAAGACGGTTAGGATGAGTTCCGTGGATCTTCCCGACGACAACGAGAAGTCCCTCAGCAGTGCATCCACTTCACCATGCCCGTCACCGGTAAGTAAAGTTTTTCTTATATCTAGTTGAGCGTATTTCTGTACTTTAGAATTAGTACGTAGGAGATGAGTATTGGGCTCGTTTGCTGTAGAAAATATTTTGTGGGCAGCCGTAACGAATGGCTAAATTTAAGACAAAGCTCATTGAGCCAATACCTTCAGTTTAAGTTAAGGCGTAACTAAAGTAACCTTCCTCGCCGCTGCGTTTCTCCAATAAAATCACCCTAAGATCTACCCTTCTGGTTGCCAACAGTAGTCCCAATTAGTGGCCAGACTTGCTTGGCGGTGACCTCTTTTTCGTTCTATTCTACACCTAAACCCTAACAGCTTTTTTTTTGTATTTTGATTTTTATATACCTCGACGTAAAGGACCAACGAAAACATTTTCATTTGTCTGCGCCATCTTTTTCCCTGTATAGGCCTTGGTTTTATTCGTCTTAACATCATTGGCCAGCGTGCTATATCAAAATATTCCCAACGAACGAGAAGCATGGCTGGCGTCATTTTATAGTTGCAGGATTTGATCTATAAAGCCCATCGGATCAGTCGAGTCGACCCTGAAACCACTCGATCTATAAAATGCTCGTTTCCTTTGCGAGGTCTTCGAAAAGGACCCACGAGAACGATATCTATAACTCGATACCTGTTGGTATTGGTTCGTAATCTTGCAAAACATTATATCATTAGACAATAAGTGCGAACCCAAAACAATTACGAAAAGGATCAGATCCGATCACTTACATGTATCGTACATACCGACGTCACGCGAACGACACTAGTGCTGCAATATCAAAGAAAGCCAGAGCGAGAGAAGGCAAAAACAAGGTCACACAATAAGCTAACGTCTGCTCCGTCGAGTAAAGCTGTATAATAGCAAAAGCATAGCGCGCTTATATTAGCGCCAGCATATTATAAGACGGTAAGCCAGCAATACCAGATAAACGGATTTATCGTTGCTATTCGTAGCTCATGATCCTGATAAACCGTCTGACAAAGATATACTAGTTGTGTTATAAGTAGATACAGTTGATCATGCGACACTTGCATCATTCTCATTATCCAGAGTTTCTTCAAGGAACTCAGACGACTCTGTTCCTCGCATAAGGTGTTTCTTCAGAAAAACAAACATATTAGACCTGATTCCGCTACAGAAGCAGTTGAGGTTGTCTGCAACACCTAACGGTGGGTCACTTTATCTCTGCAAAATTGAATTCTCTAAATATATTAATTTTTTTATTTATATTTTAATAATAGAAACGTTGTTTTCCGCTTACATTTACTACAGCTTAATAGCATTGTAAGTTTCGGCATCATCACCTTTCGTCTCATGTATATATATATATATAGTTCATATTTAGTCTTGTTCATGAATTTCTATTCTTATGGTACATAAATGCACGGTCATATGGCACATATATGCTCATAATGCACATAAAGGTTGCACAGATTGGTCCTGAAATCTCTAATCGACAATTCATTAAGGCGCTACATGAGCTTAAGTGCTCGGTAGGTTCAGTCCTAATCGGTCAATACCGCTTTTGACTAAACTATTTTTTAGTCTCATCGACATCACCACACAGCTGTGATAATGCTATAAAAGATACTGCCGTCGTCGCCCCGTAGCAAAGGTACTGACTGTCTGAAATTAGAAAATCTCCAAGCGTCTTTCAGCCAACCTTGAAAGAAGTACCAATTAGTAGGAAGCACCACAGTATTAATTTCGATTCGTTCCTGTAGAAATGATGGCCGCCTTTCTTGTAAACGCAAATTTCACACCAGCAAGACGAGCATCACTACCTGAAGCCCAATGCGCACAACGTATTTGCTAGTCGCCCAGAAAAATACAATGCAAAATTAACGTGCCACATGTATATATATATATATACGAAAAAATTCGCGCGAGCTGTCCTACCAGAGACCCACTGTCGACTAAACCACAAATTCTAAGGAATAATGCAAAAATATAACGTTGTATTGTATAATGAAGGACTATGTGACTATGAAATGCGATAAAAAAGCGTTCGTCTCCCGGTCATAGGTGGAGCGGTGGCAAGGCTTATATAAAAAGGCAGTTCAAGTGTGGTCCTCTTTAAAGGGGGTATGGAATGGAGAAATGTAAAAGCAAGACGATGACTTGAAACCCACTGACAGTGCAGATGCCAATGATACTTAGAATATAAACCTGTTTACGAAACCTGAGGAACCGAACCTAAGACATGAGGTTGTTGGTAGCTTAATGAGAAATAACGAGGTGTGTTTTAGGACAAGAAAAGATACTATCAATATGCCAACAATTCCGGAGGAACACGTGCAGATGAGGCGTGGCTAAGATATGTAAGGTGCGCACGTCATGACTACCGTAGCAGCGGCTTAAAAATCTCAGGAGTCGAAAGTTATGGATCAGGCTGGCAAAAAAGATAAGCCTCTGTAGATGTTTCCTTCTAAATGCACATGTATTTATCGATACGTAGAAAACATTAAAGGAAAAAGCGCAAGGGGATTTTAGCAGCTTCAGTGCGTAATACTATTACTCTCTTTATAAACCTTTCTTCTATTATTAGTACTTGGCGACTGTTATTCTGCGATACGTCAGCACCAGCTTCTTATTTCTTACCGCTTTTTGGCTACCCCGAAAACAGCCTCGTGGCGCCCTCTTCTGCGTTAACCTAATGCTATTGTGAACCTCGTCGACGGTAGAGCTTATCCCATCAGGTGGCTTTGATGCTGTCTTGCTCTTACTGGAAACGCACTACGGATCAAGGATCATCATATCCTGGATTTCTCCAGAAGCAGCAACTCCAGTAACTCAAGACGTCTTCGACATTGACGACGACGACGACGACGACGACGATGACAGCGCTCCACGCTAGAGCTCAACTGAGCTTACAGGGGCAGCAAGCCCTGTGTTACGAGACAGGTTGATGAGCCAACCAAAGGTCTTGTTTATAGTGATATAGATCTCCATCTTTACAAAGCCAAATACCTAGCTTCTAGCTTTCTAGGCTGATACCAATGCTGCCGTCTTCCTTACTACCCAGTTGGTGACACACCTTGTTCATCATCATAGCTACTGCTTGCAGTAGCCCGCTTGTTTCTGTAATCTCATTAATACCTAAAGCAGATAAGCCTGCCTCGTGTCACGCAATGAACAAGCTTCATCAGTTATCAAAGAAAAATAGTTAGTTTCAGTTATTGTGTCAATAAATATATCCTTTTTATAAGGATTAACATTTTATCTATATACATTTCCGTATATATTATAGCCGAAACAATGTAAGGGTAGGAGTTTCCATTTCAACCTGTGTTGAGTTAAATGACATTGTTCGTATCCCCTGTCTTTGAACTCCAAGGCGAGCGCTCCAAAAATGAGCTTCGATTCCACTTCCTATCGCTGATCTAAGTACCATATCTGTTTTTCACCATATCACCCATGAGGATCTCAAAAGGGCGTGTCGATCACGACAGGTACACCGACGTCCTTCCTTAAACTATGGTTACCACCCAGCTATCACTACAGCCAATTAGCACTCATTAAATGCACAATGAAATAGCCATTGTAGACTTTTCCAGATGTACCGATCTGTAAACTGTAGACTTAGCACTTAATGTTGACAGTAAAGAGAAACTTTGATAGTGTGTCTATGCATATACATATAAACATTGTCCTTCGAGTCTGTTTATGAATTTTAATTCAGCTCCATCCTAGATTATTTTTCGAAATGAAATAAAGGTTTTTTTACTCTATAAGGAGTTCATCGAATGTGCGCTTTCTGTCGAAAGTAGGATTTTCCATTTTTCTTTTAAATTTAGTCCAGAGTGGCATTGGATTTGATTCGTAAGTAATCATGAATATTTTGATGTAACATGCCGCTGTAGATGTTCTGTTTCATTTGCTTCTGTTTCTTAGTACACCTACAAAAAAGGCTGCGCTTCAGAGTAAACTTTCCGTTTGACCCAACCCATAAAAAACTAAATGGTATACTAACAGTACCCACAGGTACATTTGACCTCGTCCATTTCGTGTCCTGTTTCTTCCTTTCTCATTCGATGTCTGCATTATTTCAGAAGGCCCACCGATTACTACCGACAAATATATACGTCGTTCTTTACGGCTTTCGAAGTCGACAGACGGACGAACTTGACCTCAAGTAAGTATATACGATGTTTTTTTATACGCGCTGCACACAACACGTATAGGGTAACAGTGCGAGCTGCCCACCCATACACGATACATCCACGCTTTTCGTAACAGCGACAGCGGCACACAGCATTGGTGAGCGCAGAACTGCGTGCTTTTACATCAAAACCAACCTCATCATGACTTCTGCCTTTCTTACACATGGATTGCATCGATTTCCTATGCCCGGCGTTCCTCCTACTTTCCATGTATCGTCGGCGCTCCCGCTGCTTCTGTTGGTACCCGCCCATCGCTAGTCTCTATTATAGGCCAGCTATTTTCTCCTCTTCTAGTTGAAATATTTTGAGAGAAGAGGGCAAGTTACGCCCAGCTGCGATACATCCCGTTCGCGAAGCGCGTCGGAACTAATTTCGAAAAGAGCGGACGTTAAGAAAGAAAGACATTACAACCTACGCATTTAAGTGAACTTCATAGCATCTTGGACTCCGGGTCCGGTAAGCATTAAAAGGCTCAATATACCGCGCGGCATTAGCAGCGTCTTGTGAAGAATCGAAGACAAAACATTCGCGTACGGATCAACATTTATTAGGCAGATGGCTTCGATGAACGATAGAAGAAAAGCGAAGAACAAACGCTGACGGTGGGATGGAATGATTAAAAAGTCGACCAATAGAGAACAGTTTGAATATGTCGAAGTTTCATAACGAGGAACGAGAACGTGTAACTAAAATCGTTCGTAAGTGCCTGATATAAGGACAATATTGTTTATTGACCGAAGACCTGTTGAGCCTAGCGGCGCATAAACTCAAGTGCGGCGCGTAAGTTGCCGTGGCTTTTTTAAAATAGAACCAAGTATATGTTAGTGGCGCATGAAGACGTTTTTAAAGTAGATTGCCTATTATTTCAATATAGTTAAAATGGTCAGCTCATTCAACTGTTAAAATTAAATCATTTATTTTGATCAAACGCTGCGCAATTTCGGAGTTCGATTGAGCATTTTAGCTTCCTGCCCTAGTTTGATACTGTGAGATTACTGATCTGAATCGTCCCCAGAGGCCACTGTACACAAAATTTAAGAAGGCCAAGAAGTGGATGGGTCGTCTTTCAGAGTGGTCACACGATGCTTAAATGAAGTGACCCAATTGCACCATTCACGTACGAAGTGGGGTTTCGTACTAACGATAAATCTGTTTGTAAACACTCATACCTCGCTAAAGGAGCCATTCACCTGCATTTACATCCGTTATGAGCATTACTACACCTGCAACTTCAAAACAAATTACAGAAAGTAACCAGAATAATTTTTGGTTTCTGCCATTTTTGTATGGCCGAGTTTTATTTAAGAACTCTTGTTGCTTCCGCACACTTGCCATAGTGCAGGAATTATGCAAATACCGTTTAATTACATATAAATAAAGGACGCCCGATAGATCGATGCTAAACTTGTCATAGTCGGGGAGCAAACGTTCCTATGTTCATTTTGTTCATTAAATTAAAAAACAGAAATATATGAAATAGGAGTAAAGCAACAGCGAGATTAAAGAATGATATTTAGCATGACACGGATGTTAGTCAATAAGAGGCGCAGCAGAAGTACGTTGAACTGTAGTTTTAGATACGACGCCAAAAAAAACGCATACATACACACGAGCTTCGTTTTGTTTGTTGTCGTTATACTCGTAACCACAAACATTTAATGCCATAAGCAATCTCACGATGCTTTTTGTCCATCTTAGAATTTAGAATGTGTCTTTACTTTAGAATGTGTCCATCTACTATAAACTACAAACGGAAATCTATAGAGCTGTGATTTCGTCACGATAATTTAAACATATCGATCTCTGCGTACATATCTATATGACTGTACCGCTGTTCTACGTGTTTTCGTTTCCAGGCCGGGCGATACGGTGACTGTAATCGACACGTCAGATCCAGACTGGTGGCAGGGAAAGTGCATGGGCAAAGTGGGATTTTTCCCTTCAAAGTACGTCGCAAAACTGCATCCCGGCGAACGTGCGCTGCAAGTTGTGCACCCCATTCAGGTGGCTGAGCAACCTGGCCTTGGAGGACCTGACAACCCTGGAGGCCCAGGAGGATCTTCTGCCAAACTCGTGAGGGATCAGGTGCATCTATTTGTCTTGCCCCTTATTGCAGGCCTTAAGGCAGCAACATTTGTTTGTAATGCCAACAAGTCGAACATGACGTTCTGGAATAATTTGTCTATTTTGTTTATTCGCCACTATGTCTTGAACCGACATTTTTCATAGTTCAGTCTAAAGTCTGGCTTATATAAAGGTGGACGCTTTCAGGGGGTTTCTGAGCAGTCTTCCATATAAATAAAAAAAAAAAAAACAGCATCTGCTTATGATTCGTAATAGTCGGTGTGCGTTTATCCTCTTCGATGTTGAAAAAATGAATACATTCATTGTTTTTGCCGGCGATGTTTTGTTAAACTGCTATCATTCGTGTTTCAGAAGAGACATGAATACGTAACAGATTTCAACAGGACTAGTAAGAAGAACGAAGTGCGCATATTAATTGTTTAATTATCTGAGCTCACGATTCTGTGTTAAATTTTCAGTTGACGAAATTTAGGGGACAATATATAATCTCGATTCCATTTTGAGCTGAGGAGTTATGATATGCAAGGTAATCGCTCCTAAAAGATTTTTCTCATTTAGTGCACAGCGGATAATGATGACTTTGTTTGTCACTTTCAACTAATAAGCCTACCCTAACATTTCACAAGGTATTCGTGGTTCTCAATAGGTCACGGCTGAAAAATGAAGCAGCGACCTTGAAGGTTGATTTGCATTTGCCAGCTGAGGGCATGGTTAATCCTAATCTGGCTCAAATTGTAAAATTGAATTTTAATAAGTCAAAGCCGTGCCTCGATCTACAGAATTAGTTGTCCGATTCGCTTGAAGGCACGACCTGATAAATGAACGAACACGATTATTTGCTGTCGCCCTGTTTCCCTAGTTTGTGGCATTTTACTTTGGTCCTTCACATAGAGGTTCCTTTATCGATATTATTTTACAATGAAATGTATGGCATCTGTCGATACATTTCATTGTAACGGCTCTGATTCTACATTTTTACGTGTGTCTTAAATGCGCCTATTGTTCAAGCAAGCTACAAATAGAGTAGGTTCCGTATTGACACGTAAGGCTAATCAGATTTTAATTTGAAGAGTGAAATTCAAGCCGACCCACTTTTAGCTCTATCCCCGTCCACTGGATGGGTTGCGCGTGAAGGTTGTTCAAGTGTATAGTATCTTTTTTCTCTTACCTAATGCCTAATTGACCTTCTTACGAGGCTTTAAGCACATATGTAAAAAAATATACTCCTCTAAACAAACCCTTCAGTACAGTACCCGCCGTCCGTATGCTATTTGCAAAGGCATCAACATTTTGCTGGTATGAACCTTGCTCGCGCTGTACTCAAACTACGGAACTGTGTTTTTCTTTTGCTTCTGCTCTAATTACATTGTTAAAGTCGAGTGTTGTGGAGAGCAGCGGCGGGGACCTCGATTAAGCTTTGACAGCTTTTTCTCAAAGTAAAATTGGGCTAATTATGTGCACACGAGCCCAATGGGACTGATGCACACGCGTCGACGGTCGAGACAAAGCTTTTCAAAAATTAAAAACGATTATTAATATCTGGCTTGATAACTTACCTCTGAGCGAAATGATAAGGCCAAATTTTGAAAAAGGCCTTACATATTTCATCTATTTCGAGTGTGACGAAACAATATTAAGTTTTTTTATAAAATTTTTTCATAACAGGCCTTGCAGCGTTCAGGTTAACGCATTTAACGTTCTGTTAAGAATGTATTGCTAAAAATGTCGTTGTGCTCCTGGGTTTCTTTGAACAGCATTCAATGTCCAACTAACAAAAACTCTGACTGACCGGATATATAGTAACTTTCGCTGCTGAGAACAACTGCCATAAGTTCTGTGCAATTGATTGCATGATAAATATCATCTACCTACCTACCTACCTACCTACCTCATACTGATTTTACAAGAGAATCAACGGTCACCTATCCAAGAAACGGAATTGGTGATGCGACGCGTGAAGCATTAAAGGTCGCCACTTCTTTGCAAACAGATGCAGACACTTTTTAAATTTGCTATCGTATTGTTATGGTTAGTGAATATATATTTACTGTCCTTTATTTTTATAATATAATAATGACGACCGTTTTTATTCTTGTTCCTTAATACGATTTATTATTAACGGACGTGGCCCTTCGAAGCCATTAAACGAAGTAGTCCAAATAAAAATTCCTAGAGCATATTAGCATCCCCCACCGCATTAGTGTACTACAGAGTTCTCTCATTCGTATTATTTCTGTATTGCAGATTGTAATTCAAGTGGGCGAAGAATTGGAAGGGGGCCGTATTCTCGTACGGACTGGGATAAGCGACCGAGCGCTGCCTGTGCCCCTCAAGTACCTGCAAGAGATTTAAAAAGCGGAGTAGGGAAGGCTAAAACGAAAACAAAAAAGAAAAAGATGGCTTCTTGAATCGAATGAACGAAAGATTATGAACGCCAGATATTATCGAAAACAAGACGAGGCTCGTTCCAGTTAAGAGGTCCAGTGTAAGCCATTCATTTATTTGTAGGGTTATCGACGATAAGCTGAATTTCGCCGCCTGTTACGTCAAAGCCATCATTGTATTTCAGCAGAAAGCAAAGTAAGCTGTATACGACGTTAATCGATAACCTAAGAGCACAGACGGCTGGAACGAGCTTGACACAACTAGAGCGCCATAAATCAATCGCCTGATCTGAAAGATTCGAGATATCAGAAATTCAACATGGTAGATACATTACTTATAGACAAATACATAAACAATTATATACCTAGATATACCGACGATACCAACGGCAGTAACCAGCCATTCAACACAGAACCGAGATAGCCTATACAAAGGATGAAGGAATCTAAAGAAAATAGGCAGACCAACTACTACACCTATAACTGCAATAGGAAAAATCGAGACGTACGAAACAGAGGGGAGGGCTGAGGTTTCGTTGAAGCAAATTATGTGTCTCTTAAACCACTTCTGAGCGACGGGTGTGGAACGCGTCCAATGTGTATGTAGAGTTTCTGATTAAGTGTAGTTTCCGAGAGAATGAAACAGACCAGTTTTACTAACTATCTCGACTAGCTTTAGACAAGGTAAGAGGAAAAGGAACACTGAGGCGGATCTGCGGAAAGAAACATAGCGAATAAGATGAACAAAGTAGGGAGGGACAGAGGAATGGAATAGATCGCAGAGATATATGGCGCTTCTGGTACACACCACGGCACATATTGATACTCGAAAAACTTAAAGAAGTAGAAAAAGAATTGCCTGTCTCCTTGGTCCAGGAAGAACGCAAGACTGGCTCTTAACGAACACAGGTAAGGATAAAATGCGCTATACAACGACGAGTCAAATTTACAAGCAAAGCCAGATCAGGAGTCGGAAGCAAGAAGCGATGCGCGAATTATCATCTATGCCGCGAAATATCTACTTTTTGAAGTAATGATGTATTATAAACAAACAAAAGGAGAGACAAAAGTTGCAAAAATATCGAGGAAGCAACACCGGCAGTAAACAGCGGCAGTGGCAAATACGATTACGGAATAAGAAAACGTGTCGTCATTCTAAAGCGATACCCAAGTCGCAGGACGAATATTCAAAGAACCCTATGCTGAACTTATCAAGAAAAACGAAGAACCGCAAAATAATGACACTAAATAAGACTAGGAAAATGGAAGAAACCAACTAATAGATCACCACCATCACGCGCGCTGCTCGTGTAATATTTTCCAAAAAAAAAAGGCAGACCGGCTAGATGAGCGATAATAATAGTAGTAAGCATAATACTGATGAGATGAATGTGTATGTATATATATATATGTAGGGAGGCGAGGAGGGAGAGAGAGGGAGCGGGGGTAATAAAAACAAATATATACATCTTTAGAAGCTTCATAAACACGTTGTGATTCGCCTTATGGGTTTGCCTATTTTCCTTGTGGCGAATGACGCCTAGGAAGACATAGTTTGAAAATACGCACGTAGCTAAACAAGACAAACCTGGACCAGGAAAGTTCATGACGGAAGAAAAATATTAATTTTACATTTATAGTCAAGGAGGAGAGAAACAATGTTCGTTTTAAAAATCGCCATTATAAATAATACGACAATGAAATTCCTTAACTAATACATAGCCCTTCTTTAGCCTTCTTCTGAGACGGGCCTGTACTGGCATAATGATACGACAATGAAGACTGCAAGAAATACCTTAAAGACTGGTATGGGGAGCCTCAAAAACACGATATACAACAGTCAAGTAAGAGATCAGAGCATTTTTCGATTAAGTGCACGTTATTGATAAGTCTAATGAGTCGAAGGTGCGATGTACGAAAAGATTCCGAGACATGTACGACTCAGTATAGCATTCAATACAACATAATGTATGTTTTCTACACGCACGATAGTGTAGGAACGTCGGCTTCTCATTGCTACACATACGCTGGCCTACTGTGTAGCGAATTACAGCCACACTGCAACGAAAGGCAAAATATAACCCCTGTTTTGAACAGTTTAATTTTATCCGAAATGACGTAAATAAGTTGTAATTTGGTTCAACTTGGACTGGCAAAGTGAATGATAACGAGGGTTGCTGCCGTGACGTCAGGTAGCACGCTATTCACCTTGTTTCTAACCGATTTTCCCCCTCAAATTGAGGATTTGTTGCATTGGCAATAACCTGTAATAGCGCCGCTAGCTCCTTCCTACCTGTGACCTAACAGCTAAACAATACTCTATTAGATACCTGTTTATAGAGGCATTGTTTCCAAAAGATCTTCGAAGAAAATCAATCCTACATCTTCAGATTCTCCATATACAAAGTACATGAGAAGAGACGAAATACGACTGAAAAATTTGCGGGGACACTGTTTTGCCGCACCAGCTAGGTATCGTTCGTGATACAAGCAGTGGCAATTGCTAAGTTACTTAAGCTGAGTTTGTTGACCACTGATAATATCATAATGTTAATGGACTTACGTCGATGTAAGTTTGAATCAGAGAGCCGTTACCGGTAAAGGAGAAAAGTACATTGCTTAAACATATGGTTTGTACATCTATAAGGTGATTCTAGCTAATTAAGAGGGAGGAAGAGAGAGAGAGAGAGAGAGAGAGAGAGATTGCTTGACTGACTGTGGCTAGAGGATTTCCCACCACTCACCTAACGCGTTTCTATACTATAATATTTATTACAACAGCAGAAAACACAGATGAGGGTCAGAGCGCTGTGGTGCACTAGGCTGAGGCACTTTTTGGCAAACTAACGTGGTAACAAGTGGTCGAACTGTTGTCTCGGTACGGCAATATATCGCGCTGGATCGACAGCTGATTAGAAAAGAAATCGGGCCGCTCTACGTCCGTATAGTCTCTAGAGAAAATTTCTTCTCCTTAAGAAAGAAAGCTAACTATCTCCAGCAGGGCTTGATACTCGCATCGTTGTTAGGACATAGTATATGTATATATGTGAGTAACGATACGGTAACGGTACAGTATATTCGAGGATGGTAACAAGAGGCTCCTATCCGACAACAAAATAACAGGATGTTGTTACATTTCGCATATATAAGTGAAACTACCATCAGAAGAATCTAAGGAGTCAATCAGCTATAGCAAACATACCATAATGAAAATAGCATACGAAACACTACCATATGAGACCTATAAAACGAACAAACTGATTTGGAAACGAAACGCGTCGGATCGACCAACCTATAAACGATTACGACCATTTGAAAACGATCTTTTACTGTTACTGTTTATCTAAATGTTGCTATAGTGATAAAAAAAAAATGGTGCAAAAATTACGCCAATCGAGCAACTACTGTTTACTCGTCTAGTGCTTATAGGCTACCTATTCGCTGTGAGCAAACGAGTCCTCCTAGTTCAGCCCCCTATACACTCGCATAGCTCCAACCACATAAATACACTTAAAACCACTTGCAATTATTCTTTCAATATTATTAGTGTGTACATATTGTCAGACTCTGATCTAACAAGGGCTAAAACGAGACGTGAGCGAATCTGAATGGAGGCTTTTTCTTGCTTCCACCTCAAGCACTGGCCTCCTCGGATCATCGACACATACACGAGTGTTGTAGTGTCTTTAGATATAGCAAACTAGAATAGTGCATATTCTAGATAT